GAAGGCCCCCACTGCTACGAAAGTGGCAAGTCTTTGAAACCCAAAAGTATGGAACCGTACAGAATTTCGGAAGAAACGAACCCGAAGAGCACAAACAGCTTCCAGACGGTTTGGAACAAACTCCGCTGTTTGGAAAAGTGCCCATTCTTGCAAACTTCAAGCAACACAACCGTTTATAAGTTGTTAGAACTTGCTGACCGGAGTTTCGCGGTTGCGGTAGACCATTTAGCCATCGGCCTCAGATGCAAGGTTGCGTGGTGGGAATTACCCACCGACTGAGCGGGTAAAAGATATACTCAGATCTAGATTGCCGTAAGAACACCACATAAAACTTTTTAGCTTTGATTACGGGACAGAAGACAGCCTACGGAGCTCATCGTGTGTCCCTCAACCAACTCGACTATTTTGGTGCAAGCAGCCGATATCCTGGAGTATCTCTCAAAAACATGGTGGATTACCAAGGATCGGAAACCCTGGAACGAATAGCCGCCTCAGGCTTTATCCAAGAAAATGCTAAAAGTGGTCCGTTCTCTAGGCTGCATCCGAGCCTACCAACAACTCTAATAAGTCTTTGTGGCCACTCTCAAACCAAAAAGGTTGTCTCCCTGTTACCATTTTAGTCTTTCAGGTCGACAAACTCAACAAGCCTGAGGAGGTGGCAAGCGGGAGGAGGTATCGCTAGCCTACGCCAAATAGGTCGGTCAAAAATTGATCAATCATTCTGAATGGAATGAACTGCTGGATTATGCTGGAACTATGTTGAAAACGCCAGCAGTTGTCTAGCGAAGGACCAGGGTTTGGCCTGTCGAAAACTCTAGACTATATGTTGGTCTGCCCGAGAAACCTGAGTTCTGCCATTATGGATCCATGTATCCCACAGCGGGCGGACTCCTGAAGGGACCTAAGAAGCAGCACACAGTGTGGTTGATCGGTTTAACCATTAGAAAAACCTTATTCCACTAAAGCGTTTTTCTGGCTGGAAAGGCAGCGAAATAAGCCAAACAGCGTCACGTATCAGACGAACTATTGGTCCATACATGGAGCTAAACGCATCTCTCACATAATGGCTCATGGATTCATGGATTTATGAATTGATACACATGATCGAGGCTTTTGTCCAAGTTTCCCGGGTCGATTGTGTTCTTGTCGTTCAGCGTTTGTCGTTCACCTGAAAGGTATTAATGAAAAAACACCACCCTGTGAGTTTTAAGCACAGAACATAACGCTTTGCAGCGCGAAAACTGGCATAAACAAGTGTCTAATAATGCTTTGAACCGGGCTCTAGACGGAGCGTAGACATCCGTCGGAGGAAGGTCGTTCCACGCGGCTACTACCCGAAATGATAAAAAATATTGCTCAATGAATATGTGCGCTATACGCTTGAAAATCTTCTTACCATTTCCCCGCCGTGTGTTTGCTGGGTCAATGGTGAAAAACCTGATGGCCAAGTCTTGTTCATACAGGACGTAAGTAAGAATCAGGTGTCTCAGAGGCAACGATAATCCAGGGGCTAAGTCTTTTGTGCATCCTGAGTTGACAACTTGGTTAACATATTCAGGGAGCGATCCGACGTAGGCCCTATAGAGTGTTTAGAAGTCCATGCAAATAATACACAAGAAGGTGCACCGAATCATCCGTAGAACGGCGAATGTCTTTTGGGCAGAGTTCTCATGGTGCGATGAGAAGGATAGGTCTGAAGAGAGCCAAACACCCAAATCATTTTTGACGTATATCCTCATAATTTTTCTGATTTTTCCTCGCCCTTCGTGACAAAGTCATTCACCAAGACCCCTTCGAATGGCGCGAGGACGCAATTTTCGTCATTCAGAGGGGGGTGTCAGTCCGACGAACAGTGCTTTGCAGCGTCTACATCCATTTGGAGAGCACTGGAATTGGAACTCCAAGAGGTCAAGTCTTCCGTGAAAGTAGACATATACTTCCAAGAACATCTGGAAGGTCGTTGACGAAGATCAGAAACAGCAGTGGTCCCAGGACGGAGCCTTGAGGAACTCCAGTTTGGAGAAGAGTAGTTCGAGCCCATCTTCACCCGCGGATGGTCTGTCTGACAGGAACGCCTTGATTCACTGTAGGACTTCCTGTTGAACCCCTAAAAACCGAACGAATACTTCTGAAAATTCAAGAAGTGTGGCAACGGATATGAGTCCATCTTTGGCCTTGGTAAAACTGTCCATCAATATGAGCATGTTCGCCACGCAGTAACGGTTTGGGAGAAATCCGTGTTGAACTGGAGATATCAAGTTTTTGGGAGTAGGGTTACCCAGGATAGCTCGCTTCGGAATTCGTTCTATCGCCTTTCATGGAACGCTAGTGAGGCCTATAGGCCTGTAGCTGCCAGAAAATAGTCGATCACCAGTCTCGTATATTGGCGGGACAGTCGCTTCCTTCCAAGCGCAAAGAAGGCGGCCTTATTCGAACGAATGACGAACCACCTGGCAAAAATGATTTGCCAGTTTAGACCACGTTTCCTTCAGAATTTTTGGATGGACCTCGTCGGGCCGCGACGCGCAGAATGGGTGTATCTTGCGCAAGTGTTGACGAATGTCCTCCACCTTTAAGACCAAGTCATTTAGGGGCCGTTTATAGTTACGCCTTGACAAGACTGGATGTGATGAGGACGCTGGAGCTGAATGTAGACCTGTATAGTATATTCTGTAAAATTCGGATACAGCTGTTGGGTCACTCGTGGGTTCCCCGTTCCTGTCCCTCAAAGAGAACGGAGATGGCCCGTTTTTTGCGGTGATGTCTCATTTATTCGAACAGCGTATTTGTTTTTTCCGAACGAAATTCAGAATGATGGCTTGTTTTCGTATTTTCCACTGGCGGATTTCTGATTTACAGAGGCTCCGCATTTTTTGACATGCCAGCTCATCTTCTTTCTCCTATAGTCAACTTTTTGAAAAACAGTTGAGACCTCTTCCATAAGACGCCGAATCCTTTAAGGTAACTTGTGGCTCATCCGACAGCGTGCTGGCGTTTTTGGAACGAACATCGCGCCAGCCACGTGAACATTCTGGAAAAGTGATCCTATATAAGTCTTCCGATGAAGCTGTTCCCAATTCAACCTGTTCAAGAAAGATGCGCATTCCTGTATAGTCTGCACGGAAGAAGTTTCGAATCCTTTTGAGTTTCGGGATTTCTGGCCCAATAGCGGATGAAATCAAAGGTCACCACTCAGTGATCGCTATGTCCCGGTGGAGCGTTAATTATCCCCCGACCAACGAAGTATCTTTCGTTGGTGATGATCAAATCCATTAGGGACGGTATTTGGCCTGCGTGGTGTCTGATGGGTGCAGCGGCGTGTTGAGTTTAAACGGTCTGTTGAACGACTTCGAACAACGCCGCTTGAAAAACCTCACTTCATCCGACTTGCTGGGGCTCAATCCAGCAGGCCTTCGAAGCACCGAAGTCGCCTACCAGCAGGATCTGAGGAGAGTTCCTCAAGAGTTCGTTTGAGGAAAGGTCATCTTCAGGGGAGCTTGAGGGACAGCAGTAGACCACACTGAGAAGGAGAGAATCGGGCCAGCTGGGAGGGATTTGGATCCAAAATGCACCGCAAAAAGGTGCAGGAGTTGTGCCGGAGAGGACAATCGGGATGGGCAGGGCCGCATGTAAGTATAAAACAAACCCACCAGTCCTCCCAGTTTCGAGTCAGCTCCCAAGTTGCACAACCACTTCTATAGGGACCGATCCGTCTCTTTGGAGCTGAGAAGAAAACTGTGTCATACCTGCAATAATTTTACTAATATCAGGTAACCTTGTTGCTTACGGGTTCACATGGCTGGCTAGATGAACCTTAAATGGCTTATGCCTTGCAACGACTAGGGTCACCAGATTTGTACGGAGTGCTGGCAGTGCTCAATGGCTTTGTGAATCATTAGGTGACCAAATAATACGTCGGTATGCTGCTAAGAGAAGGAGAACAAAGTTATTGACAATAGAATACACATGAGTGCACGTTCGTGCTAGAGGAAAGGATCACCGGGGCAGAATCGGCTGTTTAATTGACCCGAAATAAAAAGCCTGATCTGGATAATCTAAGGCGCCACGCAACAACGATTTCGAAGTCTGCGCTGCTCCCATAAGGCGTCGTTATCTCAATTAGATCCTGGAACAGGAAGATTTCTTACCTAGTAAAACGCATTCTTTGACTACTCGTGGAAGCAAAGGAGCTCTCAGCTAAGGACGAAATAGTCAATCTCAGACTCATAAAGCCCCGGGAGTGTTCCGGTTTCAAGAAAGGTGTTGCTTTTGCGTTCACTACTGCCTTTGCGACTATTCTGAGCATTTATTTTGTTTCCTCAGTTGCCGTGCATCACTCCAGTACATCAGACTGTTTAGAATGACTGGTGTTCCTATTTGAGGACATCGTGTGGCTATGCAAAATGTTACACAGGTAATATATCCGGTGTGGACAGCAATAGTTTGGCGGTCCAAAGCACTTCTTCCATTTGCCTTCAGGTGACGCTTAGTACCTACCTTGCCCTCTGGTTCTGGAGCATTTTCGACTGCCAGAGAAGGGAATATCCACCCACTTTACATCAGAGAAGACCATCATAACCCACAAAAACACCCACTCATAGATGCATGAGTGACTACCGATAGAGGCCATAGATAAGTCTCTTCTACCCTCACCTACCTCTGAAGGACTCATTAGCCGGCGAAGCATGGCTTTGTTTTCCCATTCATTTTGCTTCTAAGTTAACATGGCTAATTTTGTACACTCCAGTGTGAGTCGGGGATTTTGTCTTCAATGATTCCATTGTGAACTTATCCAGGGTTTTTACCAAAACAATCCACGCACTGTCTGTTCATCGCTAATATAAGGTAGATTCAAAACTGCATGTCCTGCTGGTTTCTGGCTGTCACTTTCAGTGGACAACTGGAAGCATACTCTTTCTGTATATGCTCGACCAACCTTTACCTCGGAAATGGCACACCATAAGGATCAGCCTATTTGCCAACCTTATGCTTGAGTGCATTACTCTTCTGTACTGTGACAGTCTAGCGACCTGGTTTCTCAATGGTCCCTCATATCCGTACCTAGTGGGAAACGTAACTTCTATCCATCATCTCACAAAACGCTTGCAACTATCCCATCAAACACATCCCCATCTTCCAAATAATTTCCTAGCTGATCGTTCTGTCGTAGCCAACCAGTGCGTCAGCTTATATAAGAATAAATTGGCATGGCTCTTCTCTGTACTTTTGCAACCACTGGTGGTTCCCAGGCACTTCCGAAATATGGATGGGATTTGTCGGCCACTTCGAGAGGACCCCTATCAGCCAAGACAAGTGTACGTACAGCAGCATTCCACTTTTGTTTGGTTCCGTTTTTTGCCTGCGTCCCCGTATCTTGCTCTACACCCAAAATTGAATCGCCCTTGGGCCCCATACTCGCCTGTCTAGTTGAACAAAGCCACACATATTTTGCTACATTCTGATCAGCTCGGCTTTAGTTGATGTGAAATTCAGGTGGGCGTTTTGATTCTTGAATAAATATTTGAACAAGAGCGCACTTGGATTTGGAAATTTCCTACATCGTACTCAGAAGACAACATAGTCTCACTAACTGAGGTTTGCACAACTTTATTTTTTATTATTGTATTCACACTACCACATTTGTGACTTGACTTTGCGTTTTGAACATAACTCAGCGTAACCCATTTAAGTCCTGGAAACGATCAACAAGTGGCATTAGCGGTAGGTAATGCGCTGGTTTCGCCCAGTACCAGGTAGTTTCCGTGGTAAGAATAATTTAGTAAAATGTATAGCCAGTTCGATCTCGCGTATTTTTCAGGCACAAGCTTTGGAAGGTGTTACTGACTTAAAGCTGAACTTTGAAAGGGCGTCGAAATCTTTTAACTGATAGTGCTCTAGGCGCCTGTGATGCTCTAATCCAGGTGGCAGGACCTCCTCACATAGGAGCCAATATATTGATGAAGACAGAAGTTCGCCGAAAATTCAGTAAGTATGTACTCATGCTCATTATAAAAATATCCATTGAGATTACGAATCACACCAACCTTCTGTGACTTGGTTTTGCCTGACGGATTTGTAGTGCTTAACGGTCCTACGGAGTCTCTTGTGAACAGAGCAAATTACTAATGCAAGCCAGATACAAAGTCACAAGGAGAAAAATCCAAGTAGATCTCAACTCACAGTTCAAAATAGGAGATTCCGTAGCTCCGTATTCCGTTGAACCACTACACCAAGAATAGCTTTATCTTCCTGGTACTCCAGCTCTCCTGTGATTGAAATATTAATCCACAAGGGTGAATATACTAGTTCAGTGTTTGTAGCTGAAATGTTTGTTCACGTTTAGTGTTAGCAGCGGTCAAATATAGCCAACCGGCGGTCAAAACAACGGTCACTCAGCAAAAGTCTCAAAGTCACGTTGGAGCCAACGAGCGGGTGGTAGCCGTTGTATATCAGTAAAAGAAACTTTTGTACACCGATGTGATTGATAATGATGGGGAAAAAGAAGATGATACTGAGCATGAAAAAGAGCAGTTTGCAAGTGCAACAGATTGTTTGCTGCAATGATAAGATGCTGTGGCCCCGTTACCCACCGACCGCTTTTCATCTTTGAGTTTACGCTGATGAAAGCTTCATTACTTTTAATGCAATCCTTCAAAGCAATTTAAACTGTATTACTGTAAACGTGATGAAACTAGCTTCATCAGGAAATCGTGCACCGCAACCAAGAAATGGCTGGGCTACTACATCTAGTAAAAGGTAAGTCACACGCAAGGATGAACCAATATTTCACAAGAACATGACAGGTGCCGGATAATCCATTGTCTCCAACAATTGCCGTCGAATACAACCATTTCATGTGAAGCTTTTTCTTTTCTCGGGCCATCCTTTCAGAGGCATCTTAGGTGTGCGTATGAAGATGTTTTTGACGTGCTTCCAATGTATATGGTATGTTTGAAAACCGTCTTTGTCAGATTCCAGAAAATAATCTTGGTAGACGTATTTTGGTCAAAGGCTCATAAATCAATGCAAAAGTGGTGACAGAGTAGCAACTGGGTGGGTGATACCATTTTCATGTAAAAGGCGACACTATCAATCCTCCCGCGTTTTGATCAACATGTAATATTTATTAAAACAACTTTGAAGAAATCCTTAGTGGTTTACTTAACCAAATATCTCCTCATCTAGACTTTTGCGCCAACGGAACGCGCCGCCGAACTGAGCGAAGTTGAACTTAACTTGATGCCACTTTGCGACCCCCTTTTGCCTAATATCACCGCCATTGCCCTTCCTGCCAACGTCGCGTCATGATACAAAATCTTCAATGAATACCTCTTCCGGTGTCATGATTTTTCAAGCAGTGCTTGCAGGGTACAGCGGAAACCCGCAGGTGGCGTAATAGTGACAGTCGAATTTTACACAAAAAACTGTGCGGGCTTAAATTCTGCCCAGAGACCTCGTCACATCAAATCTTGGCACGCCGAAACTACGGATATTCCAGTAAGAATGGGGTAATTATTACTATTATTGTTGTTAATTTTATAGGTTTATTCCTCGGCACGTATGGAGCCTAAAAATTGGTGCACGATCAAGGCTTTACAGTGCGGTGGACAACGACAAGACTGGGGGAATGCAAAATCAGGCGGAAATGCTCACCAACCACGTCATGAATAATTGTACATTGCGCGAGGCGGAAAATAGCAGAGGTTCGCGAATTTCAGTGGCAGGGCTAACCGAAATGAGCAAACCAGAACCCGGTGTGACGGTGAGACAGTTGGTGGTGGACAGTTGGACTAAAGGCCACCTACCCGAAAAGCATGAGAGGCATGATTGGAAAGAAGAATTCGTAGCAGAGGTAAATTCCGGTTGGCATCCCAGAAATATGGTGTGTGCGTGTGTGGAAAGAATTATTGGCGTCCTCATTGGCGGATCAACCTGCCTAAGAGGCCGGGCAGTCATGCATTTGTTCGTGGTTCCAAGTAAGGGTTAAAGAGCGTAAGGGAAGCATTCCATTTTAGAAAGATGATAGCTGCAAATGTGCCAATTAACCATGCATAACCGTGCCGTGCCATCACTGCGCGTATACTTCGGTTTCTAGACAGCCCCGAAATCAACACCTTGGTTGAGGAGATATGGGAGGACTGCTGTGTTTCTGTAGTCAGCGGGAATTTTATGAGCCAAGGGCGATTAAAACAAGAGGAATCAAGTCAGAGCAGGATAAATTAGAGATCCACTTAGGCATGAAGAAGAGATTGAGCTGAGTGAAAGACAAAAGGACAGACCGATCTTTGGCTTCTGGGCAAGGTGAATACCATCCCAATAACATGAGGGAAAGATTGTTCACGTCGACGAATAATGTCTGCATGATGCTTTGTCAGTCACTTAACGAAAGCAACGTTACCTCTGTTTAAAAAGCGATTGCCGTGGCATTATACCAATCCGTTGGCTTCACGTCGCCCGTCAGCATCACCAGCAAACCACGAAAGGTATGAGGGTTCTATTTTCAATCACGCCACGGTCACCAACTTGATATCCCAGCCCAAAATGGATTTCTTCTAGACCATCCTTGCGTTACAATTAAGCTCTCAGGTATAGGCAGCCTGACCCAAGGTAAACCCGAGGAACCCATATTGGATGCCTTATATTTTGACCTCTCAAAAGCAGTCGATTGGTTCATCACTCTCCACTTCTCCTTCTAAACAAGCTTTATGGTATCCAAGGCAAGATTCCACGCCGAACTAAAGCGTAGTTGGAACGTTTCAAGAGAAATTATAACCGATATTATCCTCTCTACCGGTCTCCATTTGAGTACTTCACCGCTCAGTTGTAGGGCGAAGACTGTATCCATACGTAGTTCAGAGGAAACTGAGCAAACAACTTCGTCACGTCTGATAAGAATGGAATAATAATAATAGTAAGGTTTATTCCCAACTCGTGGGTGGCATACCATCTGGCATGATCATAGTTTTACAGTCAGAATGGAGCATGACTGGGGTAGTAACGAGGGTAGTAACAAGGATGTATACCTAATTGGATTTATGTATCTGACCCTTTTCAAACCTGTTCTGCTCACCGCCCTAGAAAACGTCGGCTCGAAGGCGTTCATCGTTCTACGGATGATTCGGTGCAAATTCCCTCGTACTTTTTGCATGTAATTCCAAACACTCTTAGGCCTAGATCAGGGCACTTATCGAACAGGCCAAAAGAGTCTTCTAATCAGGAGGCAAAACCAATGTAACCTATGTTGAGCGTGTCGAACGAACTGCAACGAAATCGCCAGCAGTCCATAAATCCGTTGAATTTAAAACACGTCTCGCGATGATTGACCTCTCTCCTCTGGAGTATCGCCACATCCGAGGAGAGCTAATGTCTACGTGCGCTCCGTTCGAACAAAGTTTGGCCAACATTTTCCACTGATTCAAAGACTTGAAAGTGGCTTTCAAGCTTAGAGTGCACACGTTTATCAGGCAAACATTTTCCTAACTCTCAGTAGTTAGCACGGGGAATGCCCGTCGGACGACGTTTGTTGATCCTCTATCTAGCACCCGGTTTAAAGTATCTTTAGATTTTTTGTGTGATCACCTGGTTGTCATTCTCTTAAGCCAGCACGTAAAAAATCGGCACAGTCACTCCTCAGTGGGTTCGGCACAAAGCCTGAAAATAACAATCTTCATGCAGAGCGATTGCGCGGAAGGAAAGGAAGGCCTGAACTCACCTTTACTCGCAAAAGTGCCGGAGAGCTGATCTTGGGGCGGGCTATGAGCGTTCAAAATACCTATCCAAAGATCAAGCGCATAACCTAGGACCACCCTCTAGGGGCACAAAATCTGAGTCACAATAGTCCCAGAATTGAGGCGCGTAAAAAGCTTTCGCCTGGCAGCAGTTCAACCATACCCAAACTTTTGGCAAGGCTGATGGCAGCTGTAGATATATGTACTCCCAAAAGCACGCCGACGAAACCGGACGCGTCTCCGGGTTGCAGCGTCTACTCAACTGCCGGAGACCCTTCAGCTACCAACTAAATTGGTGGTCTTGGGTGACGAGTCTCGCGTGGACGCGACACCGGCGTGTGTGGAATTACCATCGATTAGTTCTTCACTGGGCGACACATCCTCCTCTCCACATCCAGTCCACCAGTTCCAAGTTGAATTTGGTCGGCTATTTGGAAACAAACTGCGGAAACTGACGATAGATCAACCACAAGCGTTGACCTGAACGCCGTAAACTGCTCTGATAACCCACAAAACACGGAAAATGTGACACTGCCAGCCCCCATCTGCACTACACCGAACACAGACTCTATGATCGTCGACACAGTCGTCACTCGTGACCCTGCTGGCCGGAGCCACAAACTCGGCAGCATTGTACTGAAAATTTTGACGTACATCAAGCTGACCACGCTAACCGCGGTCAACCTGGGAATATGCACAAACACGAAAAAACGACTACAATCGAACGAACTACATAAATCCCACCTTATCGGAAAGCTATTGGCTAGATTCAGGGTGCGGTCCTCTGCCGGGGTGCCGCCAATAAAATAAACCCTGGTGGTGCCCTGCAGCGCACAAGTGAATTCATCAGGCTTCAAAGAGAAGCTGGTTACGCCGCGCCAAAAAAAACACAAGAAACCCGACGCAATGCAATGCATACCCTTAAAGGACAACAAATCTAGATGTCTCAAAAGTGGCCACTCCATTTTTTCGTGCTGATTCAAAACGCCGGAGTTCATGTTGGGTTGCTGTATACTTACACGCGGACTTACCCACCTCGAATGCTTTAACGGTAATACTAGAACTACTCCTGTAGTTTAATGTGATGCACTGTGGATTCAAGTCCCACTGTGCAGAACCAATTCTCACCTTTTCGGCGTTGTCGACCGTTGTCCCTCAAGTCATCCGGAACATAAATCAGTTCCTCATATAAGCATTTAAGTACTTCTTCTCCAGCTAACACTTTATAAATTTCCTGCTGGTAGACGATTCCAAGGCTCTGAGGTTCTCCTGGATGGAACTTAAGCACATCGGGCTAAGTAAACACTTTGCATCGGCAATGACCGAAGGCGTTTAACAGGACGCTTGCACCCGACACGTCGTCACACCCGCGCAGACTAACTGCGAACCTTGCTGGATTTGTTTGCCAACAACAAAACACACTTCATTGATCAAGTGTCAGTTGAAGCCCCACTGGGGCATAGTGACTACCGTGTGCTGACGTTGGACTTCATCTGATTTCGGGCCAAAAATCCGGAAACAACTGACGTGGATTCGAAACTTCTGCCTCGCAGACTTCTCAGGAATGAATATTTTTATTGATGAATTCAAACTAAGTCCAGCTTCAATAGAAGAGTTGTACGAAACCACTCTCCAGAGAAATCACAAAGCTGACGCGATGTTCGTCACAAATAACAGCGTGAGCAGGATTAACAAAAGCCCCTTAAAAGGATGCAAGTATATGGTGGCCGTTGGCTTGTTCGCTGAGCTGGGCAACCAATGGAATCACCCGACCGAACAACTAATCGCGACCAAAGGTCACAGCTTCAATGAAGAGTTGTACGAAACCACTCTCCAGAGAAATCACAAAGCTGACGCGATGTTCGTCACAAATAACAGCGTGAGCAGGATTAACAAAAGCCCCTTAAAAGGATGCAAGTATATGGTGGTCGTTGGCTTGTTCGCTGAGCTGGGCAACCAATGGAATCACCCGACCGAACAACTAATCGCGACCAAAGGTCATCCCCTGCTAGCAGCACGTATATTAACACACGCACAACACTACCCAACGCACAACCACCAACCCACCGCTACGCACTACTACGCTCCACAATAACGCACTGATGATGTCACCTCGATTGGTGATGAAACGTTTGCAATCAAATTGCCCAGCTCAGCGAACAAGCCAACGACCACCATCTACGATACCTGAGCTACCATCATTTTCCTCTATAGAAAAAGGATGCAAGTATTCTTGGAAAAGAGATTCCCACCATCTTTCCAGAAGATTATTACGAATGACAGAGAAGACTGGCCTTTTGTGAAAGGCAGAACTGCTGTAAGTCAGAAATCCGCCAATAAAACATACAAAAACGAGTCACAATAGTGGACTTCGCCCGGAAAAACAAAATGTGTTATTTATTTACACGGAAACAGAAAAACAAGCCAATCATCCCATTTGTGACAGACGGACAGAATAATTCCAAGGTAACCCAATAGCGATATCTTCACGGATTCACGGATTCACGGATTGATACACAGGATCGAGGCTTTTGCCCAAGTCTCCCGGGCCGGTTTTGTTCTTGTCGGTCAGTGGCTGTCACTACGCAGGCCTGTAATCTGCCCCGGCACCTCGATACACCCATTCTTGTCGAGATGTAACTATAAACTGCTCCTGACAAAATTTGTCTTCACTGACATTCGCCAACTTTTGCATAAAACAAGTCTTGTCAGCACGTTGGTGCCAGACAAGTTTCATCCAAGTAGCCTGAGGATGCGTCACCTGAACTAGAAAAGCATTTCTAATCGGTGTTTCGTCATTAGCTCGATAAAGGCAACCTTTCATCTGTTCGGAAGGACGCAGTTGTCACTCCAACCTACAGAGCTGGTGACCAAATATCGCTTAATTGCTACAAGCCTATTAGCCCCACTAACGTACTGTCCAGGGTGACGGAACATATTCTG